CTTGCTTTCTTCTGTGCATGTGCTATGCAACTCTCAGCCAGACCCTAGTTTGGTATTTGAGAAGTTTGAGAAAGTACACAGTAAGATTGTCTACTTGCTCTATTATTGTTTATCAGTTGAACATCTGTCCCTCCAACTTTGGGACCATGGAAGATTTTCCTGGAAACACACTCAGGAAGGTCTCACTGGAGCATGCTTGCATATTCACTTCCTCTGCATGCTCTCTCTCTCGCTCTCTCACACACACACACACACACACTTTCCTTTTACTTACTCATGTGCATCATCCATGACTACCCACCCATACAACCACAAAAGCAGAAGCAGCTGCAACTGAAGTTACATACATTACAATAGGGTAGCCGTGACTTGTATACCAAAATGGAAATTATTTGGCAAATACAATGTCAGCTATTACGAAGTTACAAAATAGTGGTGTTAGAACCACTGGATACAAGTATCTGCTGAATCTCCAAAATTTACATCTGATTCATTCTAAGACTGAAAATATTCATTCTTAATGGAGACTTATCAGTTGGAAGCGACAGAGGAGAAGAAAGACCTGGGTGTATTGGTTGATCACCAGGTGACTATGAGCCGTCAATGTGATGCGGCTGTGAAAAAGGCTAATGCCTTTTCCTTGCTAATCTTTTCCTAGGATGCCTTAGATGATGTATTTCCATAGAGACAGGGAGGTGTTAGTACCATTATACAAGGCACTGGTGAGACTTTATGTGAAATACTGTGTGCGGTTCTGGTCTCCCATGTTTAAGAAAGATGAATTCAGACTGGAACAGGTAAAGAGAAGACCTGCTAGGGTGATCTGAGGAATGGAAAATCTACCTTACTAGAGGAAACTCAAACAACTTGGCTTGTTTAGCTAAACCAAAAGAAGGCTGGGGAGAGATATGATCACTCTCCATAAATACATCAGAGGGATAAATACTAGGGACGAAGAGGAGTTATTTAAGTTAAGTGCCAATGTGGACACAAGAACAAATGGATATAAACCGGCCATCAACAAATTTAGGTTCAAAATTAAGGGAAGGTTTCTAACCATTAGAGGGGTGAAGTTCTGGAACAGCCTTCCAAGGGGAACAGTGGGAGCAAAAAGCCTAACTGGCTTCAAGACTGAGCTTGATAAGTTTATGGGGGGATGGTATCATGAGACTGCCTATAATGGCATGAGGCCCATCTGCGGCTGCTAGTAGCAAATATCTCCAATGACTGGTGATGGGACACTAGATGGAGACTGCTCTGAGTTACTACAGAGAATTCTTTCCCAGGTGTCTGGCTGGTCGGTCTTGCCCACATGCTCAGAGTCTAACTGATCATCATATTTGAGGTTGGGAAGGAATTTTCCTCCAGCTCAGATTGGCAGAAACCAATCTGTTTTTTGTCTTCTTTTGCAACATGGGGCATGGGTCACTTTCAGGTTTAAACTAGAGTAAATGGAGAATTATCTGTAACTTAAAGACTTTGAACCATGATTTGAGGAGTTCACTAACTCAGTCAGAGCCTAGGGGGTCAGGAGTGGGTGAGTGTGGTTCTGTGGCCTGCAATGTGAAGGAGGTCAGACTAAATTAGATGATCACAATGGTCCCTTCTAACCTTAAAGTAGTTCTGCCTTTATTTTTAGTGGCAAAGAAGGTCATTACTCAATGTGCTTTGTGATTTCATAGTCTCCCTGAAAGTTATGCTATTAGGCCGCAATTTCCTGCAAACACTTATGCATGTGCCTAACTTTACTACTCATTGGGATAAGTCACGGTTGTAAAGCTAAGCATGTGTGTAACCGTTTACACGATCAGGGCCTAGATGGAGGATATTGCTGATTTTGTTTCTAAACCTGAAGTTTCAGAATCTTCCATTATCTCTATCAGTAACAACTGAGCAGGTCTGCCTGTGAACTTCAGTAAGCTGGATGGGTGGTATATCTCCCTGTGCTGAGGGTCTTTGGTCCCCAGGTTAATTTTGTAAGTGGGATAGGATACTTTTCCCCATGTGATCACATGACAATGTAGCTAACATGCTATTGGCTGTGCCAGATTCGGTTTTCCTTTTGCTTATTCAGAGCCCAATTCTGCAATGCAAGGTGATGTGTGCTTTCTGGGAGATTCTGAGCACCCTGAACTCCCAGTGAAGCTAAGGTGAGTTGAGTTCACTCATCATGTAACAGTATTGTACTCAGAGCTCTTTATTTATTATATTTACTTTATTTTCTATTTCTTGTAAACCCTGAACTGGACTGATTTTTCTGATTCTTATTTGTATCCGGTTTTTAGTAAAATGTTAATAAAACAATCTTTATTTTAAATATACATTCATTAAAACAAGATAAAGCATGATCAAGTATGCTTACAATATGCTACATGTTCTTTTTTTTTTTGCTTCATTCCATTCAGATACAAAATAATGTGCTACATTTTTAGATTAAGGAGTTTTGCTCATCTCTCACATTCATTATGTTGTTTAGACTTTTTTTAAGTTTAAACACACAAATCAGTTTTTAATTATAAATAGAGAGCATTTAGGTAAAAGTGTGCAAAAATAAAATATTAAAAGATTTTCTCTTATATTAGGATTTAGGTAAAAGATATATTAAAACATTTCCTGCTAGTTCTAGTATTAAGGTAAAAAGTATATAAAATCAGGTGTCTTTAAATAAAATTCTACCTTAAATCCTGATCCTTGAAATGATTTGGTATATTAGTAACTTTCTGCAAATGAGTCATCTCAATGAATTCAATGAGATTACTCACATGAGTAAAGTTACTCACATCCCCAAGTGTTTGTATGATCAAAGCCTCAATGAGGTGTTAAATATCAAATTAAAGATAGCATGTACACAGTGGCTCTATGTAACCTAAAGTAACATCTATAAAAGAAGTGCAGCAAATAGCAAAAGGAAAGCAAATAACATGCTTGGGCAAAACAAGAGAGCTAGTTATACAACGTCAAGAAATAAATGTGAAAGAGCAATCCTGCAGTATGGGCTTGATCCAAAGCCTATTGAAGTCAACAGAAAGAATCCCATTGATTTCAATGGGCTTGGATCATGCCTTAAGAGACACAGAATTTCTTTCCAGTATTATGGGATAATCCAGATAATTGATCTGGAGTGGGAAGAACTTCTTATGAAAAACATTTAAAATATTCTCTCAAGGGAAGAAAAAACTTCCTCACTAGAGTGGCAGGTTGTTGAGAGAGCAGTCTTGTTTTGAGGATGTCCTTTGCCAGGAGGTCTAAATCCAGATCCAAGTCTGAGAGAGAATACTTGCTGCAAAAACAAACAAACAAAAAGTAAAAGCTCACAAAGTTCCTTCCATAAATTGTGCTTCAAAATCTCTCTTCTGTACGGGCTTAATCCTGCTAAGTGTTGAGTGCTCTGGCTCTGAGCCAGGAAAGCACTCAAATACATGCTTAACTTTAAGCATGTTTGGAGTCCCCTTGATTTCAGTGACCCTTCCACCCTGCTTAGTGTCGAGCATGTGCTCCAGTGCTTTGCTGAATCAGGGCCAGCATGATTACCACCTTGCAGGGTCAGGCACTACCTGCTGATTGGTCTTTATGAAGGAGGCAGTCATCGAGTCTTTCATTTTCCCCAGCAAGGGAACTTACCCAGCAAATATTACTCACTTGAGTAGTCCCATCAGTGTCAATGAGATTATTTATGTGAGTAAGGACTACTTATCCATGAAAGAGTTTGCAGGACTGGGCTCTACATTTCAAACATACTAGTAGACAGCTTTATCAGTATGAGATTAATGATGTGAAAAAAGTGTATTTTGAGACGTTGTAAAAAGTTTAAGGCTATTCTACAGCAGCAGATTCTTTGCAGCTGTTGTAATAACTGGCAGTATAACTCAGAGCTTTCTCTGATTGAACTAGTGCCATATGCCTATAATTCAATTGCAAAAATATTAGCCTTCCGATGAAGTGAGCTGTAGCTCACAAAAGCTTACGCTCAAATAAATTGGTTAGTCTCTAAGGTGCCACAAGTCCTCCTTTTCTTTTTGCGAATACAGACTAACACGGCTGCTACTCTGAAACCTTGAGCTCATGTCTTTCAGTAAAGGTTTTTTGTTTTTTTTAAACTATGTCTTGTTCACAGAGTTCAGAGTTTAAAATTGTCTAATAGAACTTTCTTGGTGTGCAAAACTAGTAGTTGTGATGATGCTGCCTGTGAGTATCTGTGTCATGGAGTGCATTCATTGTATGATAAATTCTCTGAAGCCAATTTTTCAGAGAAATGTTCTGGGAAACCAGGAAGTGAGGCAAGTCTTGTCCAGAAGTTGTGAGAAATCTGTGTTCCTCCTGTAAGCATTTTCTAGTGTATGCATAGCTGATTTTCAGCATCTATACACCTGAATGGATATAATTGAGGTTCCTTTGGTGAATCCATCATAAAGCCCATGATGAGATGTTTCATACCTGGAATGTAAAAAACCCCTAAGGCCCCAAATCAGTACTCCATGGTTACTCAGTGCATTTCAGGATCGGATCTCAATGCAAGACTGAAACATTGCAAACAGGTTCTCAACCCTGATGGTAATGTACATTGTTCTTAAAGGGTGAGGCCGAGAGGATAATAGAAACCAGGGGATGAACTGGAGGGTAAGAGATGGAATTCTCCAGTCTTCTTTTGCCACATCCACATTCCCAAATGACTGAGTAAGGCTTCAGGAGTGGCTGTCTTAAAGGATGGCTTCTAATCAAGCTATTTAAGTGTGAATGGAACCTATTTTAACTTCTCCCAGCAGGTTCCAAACTCAGAATGCACGTTTGGCCTGTCAAGTTGAGATCACTTGAGTATGTGAGAGCGTGAGAACTACAGAAACAGAGTAAAAGGACCAGAGGTAGTTGGGGGACACAGAAACATTGTAGTGTCTGAGGATACTGAACTTTAGAAACCACTTTATTGACTAAACTAGTTTTCAGCTTCTTTGGATCAGAGACAGGCCATTCCTTAGAAGAAACCCCGAAAGTAAACTGTTGTATCACCTCTTAACAGATGGTATGTTGCTCCATAAGATTACAGCATTCTGGACAGTTTCTGCATGTTTCCTGTGGATAGTCACTGCCTCTGTCTTTTAAAAGGGAAAAATATGTGTCTTAGTAGCCAGACAACTTATGCCAAATGTTAATACTGTATTGTATGGTGGTCACCAAGAACGTTTAAGAACAGCTTCTACCGATTCATGACATGCTTAGCTGGTTTTCTCTTATGATTGTAGTCTGCCTTTGGGGTAAATTGGGCAAGCCTCCCTCATGTTTGAGAGCACAGTAGCTGGTCAGAATTTTCCAGATTTTGAAATTTAAACATCGTTTCAAATTTTGAAAATTCAAAAATAAAAAGCAGGGAATTTTTTGCTAGATCTTTTGTAAAAAAATGTTCCCCATTTTTCTATGAACAGGTCAACACTTGCTTCCTGATTTTGCAGAGGCCCTGAGCACCTGCAACTTCCACTGAAGTCAATGGGAACTCAGGGTGTTAATCCACTCAGCAATTCAAGTCCTAAACTCATTGGGGATGGGACAATGCCTTACTATTAGGTACATATTATGCTAAACACATTGTTGCTACTCAGTAAATAATACCGTAATAGTAGTGTATCTCTCATTAGACATTGGCCGTGCTTCTTGTATTGGGAAGGTGGCAGTGCTATTTCTTTTTTGGTGTCTGCACAATGTGTCTCAGGTGGCCTGGGACCAGGATTTTGGTCCGCTGCTTGGGTTATTAGCTTCTTCATTCTGGGCCAGGTACTGACGGGGAGCATGACATGAATGCTGATCCATGCCCCCTTAATATTGGATATTAGAGCTGTTACTAGTTTTCAAGGACTGTTGTCAGGATCAGTTATTGTTTGTAAAAGCTCTGAGATCCTCGGATGACAAGTGTTGTATCCTGACAATTGTAAAGCATTTTGATTAACATCTGACTAATGGCTTTACTGGTGATTTCCTAGTCCACATGTGAGTTATGATGCAGCGAAACCAGAGAGAGTGATTGATTTTTGTGGCGTGCACAAATACTGCGACTGTGTGTATACTCACTTGGAAGTCCATTAGCCCTGGTCCTTAACCGAGAACTCCACATAAAACTCCCTGCAAACTTTTGGGAAGTTCAGCTCTGGATCCAAATTGAATGATGTGGGCTTAATCTCTAGAGATGGATCTAAATCAGAACCCAGGCTCTTCATTCCCTTCCCATCTCTCTTCCCCCACTTCAAACTTTTGGGAGATTCAGATCCAGATCCAAACGTTATGATGTGAGTCTTCTCTACTCCTTAATCAAAATGAGTGAGGTTTATTTTGACCAGAGGAACTCTGCTTCTTCCACAAGCTGCCCCTGTTGTACACCAACAGTTCAGGAAGTGAGAGGTTAAAGAACCAGCAAACAGTTCTGGTTCTGTTGTATGGCACTGCAGAGAACACCATTCCCAAAATACACAATAAACATCACTATAAAAGGACCCAGTTACTAAACACTAAGGAGACATGACGTGAAGAAAAAACAATCTGGGGAGGGACTGGATTTTCTGTGTACCTGAAAGAATCGCGAAGCTGTCTCTCTGTCTTCTTTTTCCAGCACCAGATTATCCACAAACATCCAGAAGAATGGCCTCTGACTGCTCTCTCTGGGTTTCCCGTATTGTAGGATGCGGTGATATTGATAGAAGTACCAAGCTAGGGGTGAAAGGGATGAAGAGAAGGGAAAGGGAAGAGTGACATCAAAAATGAAAGGACCAAATAGCAGAGGCATGGCTCTCATCCTGTCCTGCTCTGACTGTGGGACAATGCAGCTTTCAAAGAGAGATGCTAAGAGCCTCTCTATCACTATAGCACAAAGAGCAGTGGAGGAAATTTGAAATGAGACCAGAGAGGATAAAGTTTTAACAAGGATAAACTTTTCCATAACTTCAGTTTGAGGCATCACCATTTCTCATCTCCATAATGTGCAGCATGTAAGCAGAGGGACAGATAACAACACTAGGGATCCACTTCAGACCAGGTGCAACTTCATTGGCTTGAATAGGCACTTGCTTCTACTAGGTCTGAATTGGATCCCGGATCCGCATGGGACAGAGGCAAATTTGAGTTGGAAATGAATGATGTGCCTTGTAGTTACCAAGGGCCAGCATCTGCACATTACACGGAGGCCCTAGTAAGGGGCAGTGCGGAGCTGTCCAGACTGAGAGGGAGCACTGGGGGGCGCTTAGCCCCAGGAAAGGAGAATGCCTCCTGAAGTTCCATGGTGTGCAGGGGGAGTGTGGACACTAATGCACCTCCTTCAAGAGGTGCCACAGAACGATAGACTCAAGGTCAGAAGGGACCAGCGTGATCATCTAATTCTCTTCCTATGAAGCCAGTAACCACAACTGGACAATGTGTAGGGGGACAGAGCTGCTCCTCACTCTGTTTGGAGCATCAGGACCTCCCTCTGGGGTAGAGATGGCCCAGCCCTGTGCTTTCTAGAATTTCTTCCCAGCCCTTGCATAGGCTGTACAGCCCTTACAGAGGGGGAGGCTCTTCACTGCACCCTCTGCCACTACACGCCTGTATAAGGACCAGACTGGATGTGGCCCCTACAGTTGAGATTGTACGGTCACAGGATAGGAGTCTCCTAGGAAATGTCTCTCCTTTCACAGGTGATGAAATACAGCAGATTTAATACAGTTTAATGAAAACGATTGTGGGTGCTCTCTCTCTCAAATGTTGGGAAAGTTCTATGGCCTGTGTTAACCCCGGAGGTCGGACTAGATGATCACGATGGTCCTTTCTGCTGTAGCAGCACAAAGGGGCTGTAAGCCCCAGCTGATGGCTAGCCAGCAAAATTCACTTTAACCTGCCCCTCCCACAGCCTGCTGGATAGGGCACATGTCAGAGGATGGAGGGCTGCAGTCAGATTGCACAGCGTTGGTGAAATCCCACACTGCCATAGCAGTGGCTTGATGGCTGGTACAAGCCTGTGAAATTCAGAGCGATCTTGAGACTGCTGTAAATTACTCAGGGTGCCAAACTGGATCTCAGCATTCCTGGGAATCGGGGGAATAGACAAATGTTTTACAGCTGCCTTTTGCCCTGCCCCCTGCCTACTCAGATGTACCACAAGGAGCTTTGATGCAGTTAAAGATCTAACTGTCAGACGGATAATTTATATATCATTTTATACTCCACTGCACCTCTTACCAGGAGGGTGTTCATAGGAATTTCCAACCGGAGGAGTGGAACCAAATATGAAATCAAAAGGACCCCATTCTTTTACCTAATAAGATGTACAAGTTTCAGAACTCCTTGTTTATTTTAGAAACATTTATTCTTATTCTTATTATGATGGTTATTAAAATGTAAGCATTTGTTTACAGGCACTCAGACACTACGGTGATGGGTGTGGTATAAGAACCTGAATAGAGCAGGACCTGACGTGAGCTGTGGCTACATCTGAAGAGTTCTTCCCCACCTAGATAGCTCAAGGCAGGCCTCTCTGGGGACATCATCAGGAGTCACTCCCAATCACAGAGAATTCAGCGTTGTTCTCTTATTAAGGCCTGGAGAGCTTGTATTTAATGATTAAGTTAGCATTTAGTCATTACATAGCTCGAACACAACAGAAAACCGGAACTTGCTATTGAGTGTAGCCTGCAGTCCAGAACCCCAACTTCCAAGATGGAGTCTGACCTTTGGTCTCCGCGGCCACACCCATCACTCTTACATAACAATAGCAGTTTCTCCACACAGATTCATCCTTGTACTAAAGACAGAAAAAAGAATTATAATTGATCATTACCAACCGGTCAGTAATGCTGTGAAACCAGATTATGGAAGGCCAAATTTTCAAAATGTAACCTGTATTTGTGCACATGAAATTTTGCACTCAAGTCGCTTGCATGTGGAGTTATGACTTGTGCTTGCAGCTAATAGAAAATACATGCATATGGTTCCAAAGACAATGTGTCATCAGACACAGTGGTGAGGAAATTGCATATTCAAAGGATGAATGTCATCAGCTGCACAAAAATCTCCATCCTTCTTTTAAAGTGGGCATGGAGTTGGCATAATCTGTCAAAGACTGGCAAGGGAGAACTAGTTGTGCAGACCAGACTTTGCAGTACAAGACCACAATATGAAAAAAAACTTAAACAAAAAAAGGGAACTAGGAGTTTAGAAAAGCGACTGGTAGTGCAATGAGTGGTCAGGTTTTGAAATACTAAATATGGTTTGGGTTATGCTATTTATCCATTACTGAAATTGCATAATGGCAGTGAACTTTCAGTTTGAACAGAATTAATACCAGAGTGGCTTGGATTTCTCTAAGATTTCATTCTGAAATTCAGTTGTTGCAAAAGAAAATATTGCTACAATCTCAGGTGCCATATCTCAATTCTTGGAGCAAGGGAGGGAATCCTTGTAGCATGTACATGATTAAACCATAGTTGGAGACTCTGCTATTCCATTGCCAAGCTTTTTTCACATTATACAAAGCTTGGTAAACAGAGCCAAATTTCCACTTATCCCCCCTCCTCCCCGACTGAGTAAGGAGATTTTCCAGTGGGGACATATGTAGGGCCCTACCAAATTCACGGCCCATTTTGGTCAATTTCAAGGTCGTAGGATTTTAAAAATCACAAATTTCAGCTATTTATAACTGACATTTTACAGTGTTGGAACTGTAGGGGTCCTGACCCAAAAAGGAGTTGTGGAGGGGAGTCACAAGGTTATTGTAGCGGAAGGTTGTGGTACTGCTACCCTACTTCTGTGCTGCTTCTGATGGCGGCGCTGCCTTCAGACCTGGGCGGCCAGAGAGTGGCGGCTGCTGACTGGGAACCCAACTCTGAAGGCAGAGTATGGTATGGAATTGACACCCTTACTTCTGCGCTGCTGCCTGCAGAACTAAGCCATCAGTCAGTAGCTGCCACTCTGTGGTCACCCAGCTCTGAAGGCGGCAATGCAGAAGGAAGGGAGGCAGGGTACGGTTTTGCCACCTTTACTTCTGCGCTGCTGCTGGTGGGGCGCTGCCTTCAGAGCTGAGCGCCCAGCCAACAGCTGCCGCTCTCTGGCCGCCCACCTGTGAAGGCAGCGCAGAAGTAAAGGTTGGCAATACCATGATCCCTCTTAAAATAACCTTGTGACCCCCCTGAAACTCCCTTTTGGGTCAGGACCCCCAATTTCAGAAATGCTGGTCTCCCCCATGAAATCTGTATAGTATAGGGTAAAAGCATACAAAAGACCAGATTTCACGGTCCGGGACGCATTTTTCATGGCTGTGAATTTGGTAGGGCCCTACTCATATGCTTCTATTAGGGGCAATAGAATTATTATTATTTATTCTTTGCATTGTGATACTGCCCACAGGAACCAATCAGGCCCAGGCCCAGACCCCAGTGTGCTAGGTGCTGTACATATGAAGATATGATACCCACTTGAAGGAGCTTACGGTTGAAGGGCCTGATCCAGTGCCCATTGAAGTCAATGTAAAAATACCCATTGTCTTCAGTGGGCATTAGATCAGACCCTAAGAAAAGAGTCTGTAATCTAAGAATCCTCCATTCATACTCCCCAAGCTGGATCCAGTGTGCAGAGCAGCTCTGTCATCGCTACTGAGGCCTGGGGTAGTGCCTGATGACCATTATGTGCTCCCTTCGAGACTCAGCTTTCAGCAGCTGGATCCCCTTTGTAGACACACTGTCCACATCCCAGCTTCTCTCCTGCCCAGCTGTGAGCCCCATCCTGTAGAAGCCCTGGTGTGATGAGAACTGCTGTACAGCACAGTCTCAGTTGAGAAGAGAGGGATCCCCTGCTCTGCCTCACTTTGACCTGCCTGCCTCCCTCCCCTGGAATGATGAAGATTCTGCTTCAGTTTAGGTCTTGCCTGGCTGCCCCCGGCAGCATTCCCCTAGAATTGTCACAGCAATCAGTTAGGTAAATTCAGCGCGGCACACTGTTAATTCAGTGACATTTTCTATGTTGTACTTACATCTGTCCTCAGAACATTGGTGACATCATCTAAGTATGTCAGCCTGCCATCCCCCAAGCTGCTGCCCAAAAATCCAAGATTTTTCATCTCTGAAGAGCGGACATCAGAAATACAGACAGTGTTAGTACTAGGAACTAGTTCCCTCACTACGCACCATACTTCAGCACATGCCTAGCTTTAAGCATGTGACTGGTGGGACCAGTGTTTCAAGTTTAGCACATACTTAAGTACCTTGCTCAGTCAGGGTCCTAGCGAGCAGTGCAGTAACTGACATGTAATCAGGTAGCCCTTCCAGTAGAGAACAGTGTTGGACATTTACAGCTTCCTAACCTGACAAAGTTGGAGACAGCTCAAAATCAGGATTGTAAACCTCATATCGAGCTATGTAATGTTGCACTGAATGTCCCCACATGGCCTACAAATAGCAGCACGTTAGATAAACAACATGGGTATTAGATTGTTCTGAAAATGACACTATTTCTTTTAATGAAAAATGTGGAAAATTTTGACTTTTTTTTCTGCTTTACAGGTTTCAAAATGGATTTTTTTTCCTAAAAGTTTTCATGACATTTTCATATACAAATGTTTAGCAAAAACCACTGGTAAAATCTTTTGCTTATGAAGGGTATATGGTAAACAAAGTGATCAAAACGGTTGTTGAAATAAGATATTTTATAATGTTTTGGATAAACAAATTTTTTAGCAAATCATTAATCGTTTTTTTGCTCAAAGGTAAATTTTTTTAAAAAAGCCAATTTTTGACAAAACAGCTCTGCATTAAACAATTTTTGACCAGCTCTATCAAACAGGATGATGATACCTTTGTGTGGGTCATAAGGAATCATGATGGGTAAAATTTATCCCAAGTATGGGCCTCATTTGTCCCACTGGACAATGGAGTCACATCAGGGATGAATTTGGCCTGATATAGTAATAGATTTTTAATATGTTTGTTTTCAATCCTAAACCATCTATGTACACTTACCCGTGGTAATATTATCAAAAAGGGAGAGAACATTGATTGGCTTTCGTTCCCATGCGGATAAAGGCTGATAAATCTCAAGATGGTTCTGTCATAAATAAAAAAGACCCTTGTTTGTAGAACCCATTCAGTTGTGTGAATACTCAAAGTTGTCCATTAAAAATAATAAAGCACAGATGCTGGCCTGTTTAGGGAGTCTGACTTAGCAGGACTATCACAGTGTAGGCAGGGGACTGTGCAGCCTAGAAAACTCCTGGTCAGGAGAGAGAGAGACAGGGATCTTTGCCTAAGAGAGTTGACATTGAGGAGCCTGGAGCCTAGAGTGAGAACTGTTGGTGGGTCACAGAGGGGGAATACACATGCAATTGCCCTGAAACTGTGACACTATTCCTTTTTTAATTAAATGACCCACCCAGCATTGCCAGCAACCACTCCTCTCTTCAGTATCCAGTCAGGATCCCAAAATCCACAGAAGGGCATAAGGCAACTAATTGCAATTAAAAGTATTTCAGAACCTTGGAGACTCCTGGATTCTGATTAACACATTAGGAAGTAATGATTTATACATTGCAAATAAATATCCCGTCACAGTATATTGTAATTATTCTGTTACATAAAATGAGTTCCACTTCATTTTCAAACACCATCCAAATTGTCTGATACGGGATCATTTGCTGGAGAATTTAAAGCAGGATGCGATCTGAAGTATGTTGAGATAATCTGCCATGTGGTAGGTAAAATTTAAAGGGGCAGCACCCAGTACACGCAGTACAAATTTCTTATCAAACCCTAAATTGATATGCAGTGTAGAAAAATCTTAGTATAGTCTAAGACAGTGGTTCTCAAACTTTTTTTTTCACAGACCACTTGAAAATTGCTGAGGGTCTCGGTGGACCACTTAATGATTTTTTCAAATGTTGTTTGTACCATTAGCTAACTATTGTAAAGTGCTTTGGATAAAAGCGCTATAAAAAAAAAACTTAATAGTCATTAACGTTTTTTTGTTCTACAAATAAAAGCACGCAACTCATATTTTAATATCAGTAGTCTTACCTTCCTAATGCGATGGATGTGCCCTCTCTCCCCTGCCACAGCAGCCCTCGAGCTGGGGCTGGGAAGGAAAGGGGTCTCTCCCTGTCTCCCCCACTGCAGCAGCCCCCAAGCTGGGGCTGGGAGGACGGGGGTCTCTCCCCCACCACAGCAGCCATAGAGCTGAGGCTGGGAAGGAGGGGGGTCTCTCCCCGGCAGCCGCAGCCCTGAGCTGGGGAAAGTTGCTTCTTTCTCTGGCTGCCGCAGCCCTGCACATCACAAATCCCCCCCACTCTCTCTTCTCACCTCACTGCCTGTCCCACCTGCCCCCTATTCCCCCCAAGGCCACCTCCTCACCTTACATGTGCGTCTTCTCCAGGGTCCAGGCACCTAATTAGTGGAGCCAGGCCTGCGTGGCTCCACTAATTAGGTGGGTAGCCCTTCATTCTCTCGTGTGCAGCCGCCCAGGTACGCACCTTAGAGGGAACTATCCGTGGACCACCTGAATGGAGTTGATGGACCACTGGTGGTCCATGGACCATAGTTTGAGAACCTCTGGTCTAAGATTTCTGTGGTGATTGTTGACTGATGCAGAACTCAGTTCTTTCAGTATTTAAGGTGGTACTTAGACACTAGGGTGATTGGCACCTTATTAAAACCTATGGTAGGAAGAATTCAGATTTTCGGCAGTATATGTCCCCAAATATTTTTATTTTTGCAAATGTCAGCCTCACATCCCTTCTAACAGTACAGCTGATGGGGCTCTGCTTCCACCTGCTGGAGGCAGAACATATCTGACGGGTATGCTGACTGTTTCCTCTTGCAGAAGTGATAGATCTCTAAGGTCAGTTTTTTGTGTCTCCAACTGGCTGCAAGAAGAAAATTCCAGCCACCACTCTCAACTGGCACTCTCAACTAGAATAAATGATATGCTTAAAAATTCCAAAGCTGTTAAATTCTAATCGTATTTTGGTTATGACAGGAGCCTGATGCAGTTAATATATTTTATTTGTTTTAGTACAAAGAAAAAGAGTCCAGCGCTCATAAGTGAATCTAGCTCTGAATACTTTGCATGAATTCTGTATCAATTAATGATTCTGTGTGAACTAAAATGATCATTCTTTTGTCCTATTTCGATAGCACCTGTGTCCTGAAAAAAAGTGCCACATATACTTAATGATCAAGAAGGAAAATATATATAATGGATCACAATGAACATATCTTATTTTTTCCTCTCTAACTTTTAAAACCTTAAAAAAAAAAAAAGATTGTCAAGGTATTTTACATAATTTTTCTCCATAACCTTCTTGGAAGCTGCTTCCTTACTAAAGTGTTTCTTCTTCAGTCCCACATACACACTAAGGCCCAGATCCTGCAAACATGTAGCAATCTGTGTAATTTTGCTGATGTCCGTAAAGTCACACACACATACATACGTATTTGCAGAATCAAAGTCCAGTGTTAATTTAGAATGCAGGGCTGTTGGGTATTGATTTAATTTTTTATAAAAAAGAGGATTCAAACATTTGTTTTGAAAACATAAGCACGTGTTGGAGCTCATTATTAAGAGAGACGGGAAGAAAGACAGGTTTCAGAGTAGCAGCCGTGTTAGTCTGTATCCGCAAAAAGAACAGCAGGACTTGTGGCACCTTAGAGACTAACAAATTTATTTGAGCACAAGCTTTCGTGGGCTACAGCCCACTTCATCGGATGCATAGAATGGAACATATAGTAAGAAGATATATATACAGAAAACATGAATTTAGCCATATGGAGTGGAAATCCATCAACTTCATGAAAAAACTCGTACAGATACAGACAGACATTATCTTCCTTTCCAAATGCAAACAGATGGACATCATACCAAAAGGACTAAAGGTAAAAAATCCATTACAATCTACATGTCACGCAGACTATGCTGAGAGATTGTGCCACACACTCTCAAAGAAACTGCGAAACCACCTTATCAACATCCTATACAGCAAATAGGGAAAGATTAAGAATGAGCTCTCAAAACTGGATACTCTCATAAAAAATCAACCTTCCACACAAACTTTTTCATGGATAGATTTTACAAAAACTAGACAAGCCATTTACAACACAAAGGAAAAAGGACACTAAACCACCTAAACTGCTACATGCCACAAGGAGCCACAACAGTAGTTCCCTTAACCCACCCAACAATATTGTTAATCTTTCCAGCTATACTCTTAGCCCAGCAGAAGAGTCTGTCCTATCTCGGGGCCTCTCCTTTTATCCCTCCAGGCCCACAAACATGATACAGTTCTGCGGTGACCTAGAATCCTACTTTCGACGTCTCCAACTCAAAGAATACTTCCAACACACCTCTGAATAACATACTAACCCACAGAATCCTTCCTACCAACACTACAAAAAGAAGGATTCTGCGTGGACTCCTCCTGAAGGTTGAAACAACAGACTGGACTTCTACATAGATTGCTTCCGTTGACCTGCACGGGCTGAAATTGTGGAAAAGCAGCATCACTTGCCCCATAACCTCAGCTGTGCTGAACACAATGCCATCAACAGCCTCAGGAACAACTCTGACATCATAATCAAAAAGACTGACAAAGGAGGTGCTGTTGTCATCATGAATAAGTTGGAATATGAACAAGAGGCTGCTAGGCAGCTCTCTAACTCCAAATTCTACAGGCCATTATCCTCTGATCCCACTGAGGATTACTAAAAGAAACGACACTATCTGCTCAAGAAACTTCCAGAAAAAGCACAGGAACAGATCTGTGCAGACACATGCCTAGAACCCTGACCAGGGATATTCTATCTGCTACACAAGATCCATAAACCTGGAAATCCTGGATGCCCCATCACCTCAGGTATTGGCACCCTAATAACAGGATTGTCTGTCTATATGGACTCTTTCCGTAGGTCTTACACTACCAGCACTCCCAGCTACCTTCGAGACACCACTGACTTCCTGAGGAAACTGCAGTCCATCGGTGATCTTCCAGAAAACACCATCCTGGCCACTGTGGATGTAGAAGCCCTCCACACCAACATTCCATACAAAGATGGACTACAAGCTATCAGGAACAGTATCCCCAGTAATGTCACGGCAAACCTGGTGGCTGCCCTTTGTGACTTTGTCCTCACCCACAAGTATTTCACATTTGGGGACAATATATACCTTCAAGTCAGTGGCACTGCTATGGGTACCCGCATGGCCCCACAGTATGCCAACATTTTTATGGCTGACTTAGAACTACGCTTCCTTAGCTCTTGTCCCCTAACGCCCCTACTTTACTTGCGCTACATGGAATCATAGCAGTTACATGGAATCATAGAATATCAGGTTGGAAGGGACCTCAGGAGGTCATCTAGTCCAACCCCCTGCTCAAAGCAGGACCAACCCCCAATTTTTGCCCCAGATGCCTAAATGGCCCCCTCAAGGATTGAACTTGCAACCCTGGGTTTAGCAGGCCAATGCGCAAACCACTGAGACATTGATGACATCTTCATCATCTGGACCCATGGAAAAGAAGCCCTTGAGGAATTCCACCATGAGTTCAACAATTTCCATCCCACCATCAACCTCAGCCTAGACCAATCCACACAAGTGGTCCATTTCCTGGACACTACTGCGCTAATAAGCAATGGTCACATAAACACCACCCTATACCAGAAACGTACTGACCACTATACTTACCTACATGCCTCCAGCTTCCATCCAGGACACATCACAGGATCCATTGTCTACAGCCAAGCTCTAATATACAACCACATTTGCTCCAATCCCTCAGACAGAGACAAACACCTATAAGATCTCTAATAAGCATTCTTAAAACTACAATACCCCCCCTGCTGAAGTGAAAACACAGATTGACAGAGCCAGAAGAGTACCCAGAAGTCTCCTACTACAGGACAGGCCTAACAAAGAAAATAACAGAACGCCACTAGCTGTCACCTTCAGCCCCCAACTTAAACCTCTCCAGCGCATCATCAAAGATCTACAACCTATCCTGAAAAATGATCCCTCACTCTCACACATCCTGGGAGACAGACCAGCCCTCGCTTACAGACAGCCCCCCAACCTGAAGCAAATACTCTCCAGCGACCACACAACAAAAACACTAACCCAGGAACCTATCCTTGCAACAAAGCCCAGTGCTAACTCTGCCCACATATTTATTCAAGTGACACCATCATAGGACCTTATCACATTAGCCACACCATCAGGGGCTCGTTCACCTGCACATCTACCAATGTGATACATGCCATCATGTGCCAGCAATGCCCCTCTGCCATGTACATTGGCCAAACCGGACAGTCTCTATGCAAAAGAATAAATGGAAACAAATCTGATGTCAGGAATCATAACATTCAAAAACTGGTAGGAGAACACTTCAACCTCTCTGGCCACTCAGTAAAAGACTTTAGGGTGGCAATTTTGCAACAGAAAAGCTTCAAAAACAGACTCCAGTGAGAAACTGCTGAGCTTGAATTAATATGCAAACTAGATACCATTAACTTGAGTCTGAATAGAGACTGGGCGTGGCTGGGTCATACACATATTGAATCTATTTCCCCATGTTAAGTATCCTCACACCTTCTTGTTAACTGTCTAAATGGGCCATCTTGATTATCACTCCAAAAGTTTTTTTCTCCTGCTGATAACAGCGCATCTTAATTAATTAGCCTCTTACAGTTGGTATGGCTACTTCCACCTTTTGATGTTCTCTGTATGTATATATATCTCTTCTTACTATATGTTCCATTCTATGCATCTGATGAAGTGGGCTGTAGCCCATGAAAGCTTATGCTCAAATAAATTTATTAGTCTCTAAGGTGCCACAAGTACTCCTGTTCTTTTTTTGGGAAGAAAGATAGGTCAACGGTTGGGTCCGTGTCAGCCTTGACTCCTCCATCCCTTTACTTTTCTATTAAAAGTTAATGGAGACGCTCCTTACAGATTCCTGATCATAGAAGCACTTCAGTTTCACACGCCATCTCTTCTTCCTCTTCAGCAACCCATGTGAACTCAAGGGGAGGCACATGAAACACAGCCAGGTATTCGTTGCTTTAACTTTCTCTGCAGTACCAGGACTTACAAGAACATCCAGACACTCCAGGCAATAGCACCTACACATATTAAATAAGAAGTCAATTCAGTGTTTAAACAGGTCTTTCCACACATTCTATGCTAGCCAGCGGCTCAGTTTAACTGGTTTGGTTCTTTTCTGATTTTTAAAATCATATTCAAGAGAATTATCTTTTTCCTCAGAAATGTTTCGCTGAAGATGCTGGTACATTATCTGCTATATGCTAAAGCACCTTAGCAGAGTAATATCCATGAATGATCCCCTTCTGTGTTCCTGGCCACACCTTTAAAACAGTCAAAGTTGAGGTTGATTCAAAGGAACAATCCCAGTGTTTATGCAAAACTCAGGGTACGGTGAGACTGGAAGCACTGGGAATTTAGTTTGTTTTCAATCAAATGACCAGCCATGCTAGATATGTCCAGTAAAAACCCACATGCTTTTTATTTTTATACCAAGTCTAAAGAGCAAATCAAGCTCCCATTGAACTCAATGGAAAAACAATCCCCCACCCCACCCGCGACTAATATGGGAATTAGTTGGGGCCTGAATGCATTACAAGGAAGCTCCTGTTTATGTGGGGCACAACAACTAGGGAATAAGCTTTAGGAATGAGACAAGGGGTGTTTTTGCAGGGTGGGGAAAAACCAGAAATCTTCCAGGACATCCAAGCCAGGACAACCTTGAAGATTAAAGTTACCTCAAAATGGGGCAGCTGTCTGTTAGCGAGAAGGGCAAATATTTGGCTATTTCCCCTGCCAGCTGTGCTCAGAGCATTGACATGTTCTTCACTCTGCTGAATCATCACTTGTAGAAGTACATCCTCCATCTCCGGGTGGTGATGGACATGCCAAAGGCTAACCTTAACTCTGGGTGCTGATGAGCTTGGCAAAAATGTTATAGGGTGAAATCTTAGCCTGAGGGAAGTCAATGGGAGTTTTGCCACTGACTTCACTGGGTACGACTAGAGTTCAAAAAAACCCCTGCAGCAGCAAGTCTCAGAGCTCAGGTCTACAGACTCAGTCTTGAGCTATGGTGCTAAAAACAGCCCCCCCCCCCCCTTTGCCAGGTCTCAGAGCCCGAACTCCAGCCCGAGCAGGAATGTCTATGCTGCTATTTTAAGTGCTGTACCACAAGCCTGAGTCTGTAGACCTGAGCTCTGAGACTTGCTTTTTTTTCCTTTTTGCAGTGTAGAGGTACCCACTGTGGGCAGGATTCACCCATGTGTACAGCTGGTGATTTGTAAGGTGCCACTGTTGTACCTCTTCTCCCTCTCCTCCCCAGTTAGCCATGTTCAAATAAGCTGTTTTCTTACTCTACTAGAACATAATACATGTGCAGACAAACATTATGACAAAGTGTCTTGAATAATCTTGTTTCCTTGACATGTTTGTTTGCAGAATTTCATTTCTTTATTCACATTTATAACAGGGTTTTTAAGTGATGAGTTTTTCTTTAATCCTTACCCTGCTGCTATCCTGTGGATAATTTGTGTTAAATTACTTGGGGAACTACAGGTGATTTAAATGTGTATTGAGTGCTGGGCATGTCAAAACCTGCACACCCCAACCAATATAAGGTAAAACAATGATAGGAGGTGAGCACAGTGCAGGTCCTGATCTAAAATCCGACATCCCAGCACCCCAGGCTTATCGGAACTTTGTAGCTAGCTCCAACCTCAGTGAACTGAAGCAGAACCCTGCACGTAGACCCGCCCCATCAAACTTTGTGGAAGTTTAGAACTGGATTTGACCCTTGTGGCTTAGGGTATGTCTATGCTGCAGTCACTGAACTAGCTTTAATTTGCCTAGCTGAGGCCCCAGAGCAGTGAAGCCGTGGCAGCAAGCACTTCAGCGTGGGCCAGGCCCACAAGTCATTACCCAGGGTTCTGGGCCAGTTTTTACTGCCTACGCTGACACGTGCAGCTGCACTGTTCTGGCACCGAAGTTAGCTAGATTAAAGCTAGCTGGAATATGTCCCCTCGAGCTGCAAACACATGTTGTCATTGCAGTCTAGCCATACCCTCAGGCCTACCCCTACTCTTTACCTATTACAAGTTGGATCATCGCACATTAGCAGAGTCTTCCCTGAGCAGCAGATCGTACAAAAAGCTTGAAAGCCATCCTCATCGTACAGGAAAAAGGTTTCCAGAAAGTTCTCCTTATAAAACAGCAAACTATGGTTAGTTGCAAAAAATAGGTTTATTTGATAAAATGAAACAAGCATCCTTAGCTGTGTTTGCTTTGCACGTGAACTTCATGCTTGTGTTATTAATTTTTTTATGTGGCACCATTACCGTGCATGGTGCTTTGCAAAGAGATCGTAAGTTTCCTGCCCCAGGAAGCTGAATGTACAACTGAATGTAGACTAAATACTGACAAAGGTGGTGAAGAATAGGATGTAACATGAAAGCAATGTGATATATTAGATAACTTTAGCCATATAATTATAATACCTAAGTCTTACATGGTGCTCCTCATCAGTAGATCTCAAAGGGAGGCAAGTATCAATATCCTCATTTTACAGATGGGGAAACTGAGGCACAGAAAGGGAAGTGACTTTCCTAAGGTCACCCAGTGGGCAAAACAATAATATATCAGTTCTAATTTTTATAAAGTATTATTTTTATTCGTGTATGTAAACTCTAGTGGGAACCAAATTAAAGGACACTGAGTTGAGGCATGTGTGTGGCTGGTTAGTGACACTTTCTTATATATTTAGGCCAGAATGGGACCATTCTGATCCCCTAGGATTTAGAACCTCACCCAATCATTTCTGCACCAAGCCCATAGCTTCTGTGTGAGCTACAGAATATCTTTTTAAAAGTTGTGCCATCTAGATTTAAAGCCTTCAGATGATGGAGAACCCACCACATCCTTAGGTTAGTTGTTCCAATGGTTAATTACCTTCACTGTTCAAAATGTCCACCGTATTTCTAGTTTGAGTTTGTCTAGCTTCAGCTTGCAACCATTGCATGGGTGCTGGAACTCAGGGTGCTGGGGCCGGGGGGAGCTACCACACTCCCTGTCTTAAAGTGGTTTCCATTATATACAGGGTTTACAATTTGGTTCAGTGTCTTTCAGCACCCTCACTATACAAATTGTTCCAGCGCCTCTGAACCACTGGATGTCAGTATCCCTTTTTCTGCTAGATTAAAGAGTTATCTACAATCAGAAATCTTTTGCCAGGTAGGTACTTACGGACTATGACCAAGTCACCTCTGACCCGTGTCTTGGATAAACTAAATAGGCAATGTTTCTGAAGTCTCTCATTGACTTCAGCGGATCCACTTCCAGCTGATAATAATAGGCAGGGGGGCTGCCTTATTGAGCCATATGAACTACCAACCGTGCATGGAGTACAAATTCCTCCGTGAAACAAGGGATGCTGGGTATGAATCTGGAAGCTGCCACAGCAGATGCAGATTTCTATAAAACACAAAGAATGTCCTATCTCAAAATCTAGTATTGTTTAATTTCAGCCTCTCTCACCTATTTCTTTTGGACAAGATGCAGAATTTTCTAGACATTGCTCTGAAACCTGAGAGGCTAGGCATTCCCAGATTAGTAACTCCTATTATTACATGCTCAGCACATCTGTTAGAAATGAAAAACAGTGACAAGTATATTCTTTAATGCTCTCTAAAGAAGAGTTTTAAGAATACGATCCTCATCTGCACAGCAGAAAGGATAGGAAAAGGGCCAATGTTACTAATAAAGCCAGAGGGACATTGTGTTTTTAATACAAACTATTTTAAACATGGTCAATACAAGAATCCACTTCCAGCTGAGATAATTTTCACACTACTCCTGTGGACGTTGCCTATGAGCCACTTCTGTCAAGGTCACGTGCTAGAGACCTGCCAACACTTCCAAATCCACCGGATTTGTTCTTAAGGGCTAGATTTTCAATGATGCTCTCTGACGTAAAGAAAAACATGTACATCATCTCTTTTAGCCAGATCTTGCTTCAGATCTCTGTGCCCATTCAGCTTTCATTTTCTTTTTCAAAACTGCCAGTTAATGTCAATTTTGCTGATAGTTCTTGTGATGAGTCCATTAGATGCTGGTCTAAGCCCACCAAATCATTTTCTATAGGCCAGGAAACCACCAAACGTTAATGTCTTTCAGGCACTAATAACCTGGGGCAGATTTAAATTAGTGAACCAGAAGTGAGGATGGCTGTAATCCCAGTCCTTTAGGGCAGCCATTGTATGCCAAATTCTTTTAACGTATTTTTGTTTACGTTTGATTACCCCATATTTTTGGATATTGCTTTTAAGTTGGACACCTGATTTTTATGTCATATTGGTTAACATGCAGTGTGACATGGCTAAATGGCCTATTGGTTTTAGGTAATTTAATTTGATTACTCACCTTCAATACACCTTTGGTTTTCATTTACTTCATGTGCAATAAAATCTGGGGAAAAACAAAATGTAATACTAATTGTTTATGTCTTCAAAAACTGGAAGAGCAACAACCCTTAAGAGTTGGCACAACCTGTATTTTCTGCTATACAAACAAAAGGGTTCCCTAAGGATTTATGAGCCAGTCCTTCAAGCCCTCCCTATGAAGAACTCCCATTCGAGTCCCTGTGAGTTTTGCATACAGCTGGCTTTGAGGATCAGTCCTATCGTTTTGCTCCTCTGTTTCCTTTTTGTAGACCAAATAACTTCACTGACTCATGTCCACACAAGTGTAAGATTGTATGCTGCTTTAGTAGACACACACTCTGCAGGTCAAGCTGCTGCAATGTTTTAAAGAAACAGGCTAGAGTAGAAGTGTCAACCTATTGCGAATTCCTTCTGAAAACACTGATACCTCTGTTGGGGCTTGAGGGTGTAGCAGGCATTATTTCTTCAAGAGAGTCAAGACAGATCACATCAGAAGAAGTGCTTTCTTCGTCTTGCAGCTCTATCGCTTGAGGGGGGAAAAAAAACATGCAACCGTAAGTTTCCTGGACAGTAACTCCACTTTTAGCAGTATTGTGATTTTCTAAGCAAGAAACACCACTATAGCCAGGTGACACCACTGAAGGTTTGCGACTTCTATTTCCATACTTTTGGAAACACCAGTCTAGCCCACCCACATTCACTGAATTCTTCAAACAGCTGGGAAGTTAGGTATTTATACAGCTGATCCATGCACAGTTAGCTGAAGTGGGGGGAAGATCATTTATTATTCTAGTGTGCAGAGTGGCCCAACCCTCCCTCCTATGGATTGAAGTGTCTCTTGTGTCTCCTAGAAGTCATCAGAGCATCAGGCATTCAGGGCCTGGGCAGCCCCCGCTGCTTCCAACCCCTACCATCGCCTGGACGGTGTCACTGACAACCCCCTGGTTCCAAAGGCATTGCAGCCTCAGGCGGGCTCCAGTCATTTCCTTTGCTCACTTATTCCAGAGAAGCTGGGCTCCACCTCCTCCAGGTCCTCTGCGCTGTCTGTGTCCGACAGGACCAGCGCCGGCTCTCCCTGGGCCATGCTGTGTTTATATGGACCATACGCAGGTCCGCCCGGCAGCAGTAAAGGCACGTAGGTGCGCCGCCCGCGGCGACGAACGACAAGCTTGTCCAGCGCTACCAGGCGGTGTGCTGGGCGCGGCTCGCCGCGCGGGGGGCGTGGTGAGTGAGTCTCTTGCAGGGGGGTCTGGTGGACGCTCCAGGGAGAAGGTTTTGTGCAGCGGGGAGGGGGGGGGGAAGGGGAAGCTTTTTTTAAAATTAATCTGCCAAGGAAATTCCAGCCCTGAGAGATCGTAGAGATTATATGAACTATCCAGCACCTAAGGGGCGGGTGTGTGTTTTGCAATGCTGGCTGCGTCAAGCCCAGCCTCCCCGTTTTAGACTTAAGTTCATGCCAGAAGAGCAGCAACGTTCTTCAGTTTTTCAACCTGTGGTCAATTTCAGTTACAGACTGAAAACAAAATAAGCAGCTTTTAAAAGAAATGTGTGTCTGTGTTAGAATTATCCTGGACTGTATCCCATGTGCTATGCACAGGCTACAGTCTCTCATATCTTGCTTTATATACACACAGTACTATAGCTGGTGCACAGTACTGTCTGCATGCATATATATTACACAGAAGTATATATCCAGTGTGGTGTATGTCTATCTCACATAAGTATCTATCAGTGTTACAAACCTGTTATAAAATTAAATAATTTATTTTCAAAACTCCACAAAACAGTTATTTTCAAAAAAGTTTAATATATATATATATAGTTTATAAAACACTGACAACCAAATGAACTTTGCTGTTAGTCTAATTTTATGATTATTCCACATAAATACATAAATATATTGGGAGATTTTTGCTTTGGATGCACATAACAATTTTTTTAAAGGTAACAGGACAAGGGTCTGAGCTGATGAAAAGAAACCTGGTTGCATTTGTGTACATAACTATACCCCTTTGCTAATTGAATTAAGTTATTGCTAAGTGAGATGTTTTTGATTGAAGGTGTTAGTGTAATTCTTGCCTTAGTAAGCCACCAGTAGTGATATTGGATACCGAATGCCCTTTCTTCACAGAACTAGAAAAAGATAAAGATCAAAAACATCAGTAGAAAGGGCAGATACATCCCTGCTATTGGTAAAAACTAAGGATTGTGCATGAGGATAAAACATATGCTGGGACACTAAGGCTGCAAATAGATGCATCTAAAATCCACATCACCAATCCTTACTCAGCAACTCCAATGTCTAAATTAATTGCCTGCTAACTGACTTAATTTATGCTGGGATAGTGAATGTTCTGGTTTGTTTATTGTTAGTTTTTCTTTTCATTAGCAGCTATCATAATAGAAAAATGAAGATGCTTAATGATGGGGGTGGTGGAAATGGTTCAACATGTTTAATTTATTAATGTAGGAGGATTCTGTATTTTCTTGAGGCAAAAATTTTAAGGACAAATTAGATATATGGTACAAAGAAGAAGCATAGAACACTCTATTGAAGACATACAAGACCTGGATTTTATTGTTTTTAATTGATCAAAGCTCCCACTGATGTCAGTGGGAGTCTTGCTTGGCGATGGCAGAACTTGGCCCAATCTGTAGATAAGGTCTCTCTGTTGGTGTGGTGGTTGTCTTTAAATATTAAAATAACCTTCTTGTTTTATTTGAACTGCCACACACTTAAAATAAATGAGATCTTACTTTTATTTTCATTTAAAATATTTTGGCCTCCTTTCCCACTTTCCCATTCAAATTAGGCACTGGAAAAATCAAAAACATTAATTTGCGCTGAACTATCAAAATGTATTGTTTTACTGTTAGTGTGAATTAATTTATATTCCTGTTGGTTTAGGTGAAATACAATATCAATAACCTTTAGTTATCAATGGGCTTGACTTTTGTTGTGTTGGTTTACTTTCTTTAATTTCAATTATAAAACAATAAAGAGAAAAATACCTGCTAGATTAATGCCCTGTGGTGGGGTGGTGCCCCACTCCCAGGCAAGACTGGGCTGAATCAGGCCTGAGAGGCTGCGCAGACCTGCAGCCAATCAGAGAAGGCCTGAGGAGAGCCAATCAGAGCAGGGAAAGAGTCAGCCAATCAGGGCCAGGCTAGGCCCTATATAAAGGCTGCCCAGGACCAAAGCAATCAGTCTCTCTCAGATGGGAATGTCTGTTTCCTGAGCTAAGGAGACCAGTACCCTGGATAGCGCAGGCTTGGGGGAGCAGAAGAGAGCTCCAGCCTGATACCTCTCAGACTGTGGGCCCTGACCAGAAGGGCCTAGAGGGTGCAAGGAGTCAGAGGGGAAATGACCCAGGGAGGATGGATAGTTGAGGGGAGAGAAGGAGGGCAGAGAGGCTGCCACTAGAGGGTCCCTGAGTTGGGACCCAGAGTAGTGAGTGGGCCTGAGTCTCCTCACCCCTTTCCCCCTTGTATAGCACCTGGCTGTGGAAGAATGGCCATGATAGACTGGAGCTGGCCCTTGAGCAGAGGGGCTAGACCTTTGGGGCTGTGGTTGGCCACCGTGGCAGGAGAGAACTGGGAAGACTGCTGTTAACCCCCCTGGAAGGGGATAAGGATGGACTAGGGAGCACTGCCGGAGGCCAGTGTCCTGAAGTGGATGTTGCCGAGTGGGGAGCAACGCAATTCCGGATACCAACGGGGGAGTAGACAATGGATGGGATGCCACCGGCAGATGGCGCTCTGCAATGGACAGAGTTAATTCCTAGACATGCCAGTGGGAGGCGTGGTGGTGGTGAGTCCCAACCCTGTCACATGCCCTAAGGAACTAAATAATTTTCAGGAGGAATCTGAAGCAGAAGTAGTATCTTTCCCTATCCACCAAAGAGATGGGCCATTCAGAGAGGGCCCTGATCTAAAAACTTCAGCTCTGGATTAAAACTTTCTCAAAGTATGGGTATATTTGGGTCTGTGGTGATTTGGTTCAGCTCTTCATAGAGATGGGCAAGCAGCAAAGTTCAGCTCCAGATTAAAATTTCCACAGAGCTTTGAGGTTTTGGGATCTAAGCCTTTAGAAGCCCCATCTCTAATGAGAAGGCTTAGCCAATGAAGTATTTTGATTCACTAATTCTTAAGTGACTCTCAGGACTGAGGTTAAAGTAAGGTGGACAAACCCCCTCTCCTCTCCTTTTCCCAAACATGGGGAAAAGTCCGCTCCCTCAGGACTCCCGCTCCTGTCTCCTCTCCCCTGGTTGGTAAAGTAAGGACTCTTCAGGCAAGAGAATCTGAACAGGGAGCAAGATGTAGCTTCACTGAGATGCTTCTTAGACTACTTGGCTTCTTACCAGCAGCATGAGCAGATGAGAAGAGGTGTCCTCTGTTTGCTTCTTGTGCACAAAGATCTGTCTCCTCAGCAGCTCCCTCTTCCCTTCAGGAGCAGAAGGGAAGGGGAGCCTCTGTAGCAGGCTCTAAGGGGAGAGAAAGATAGACAAAATATCCCCAACACATACTATCTCCTCTCCCCAGTCTCTCTTGAGGAAAAGGACGTCATGGCCAAAAAAATAGCTCCCGCTCTCCTGACTTTCCAGAGATAAGTGGGAAGGTGAAAGGGAGAATGTGCGACCAGATGGGTGTGAGTGGAGAGAGCAGAGGAGGGAGAATAGAGCAGTTAGGGGACAGGAAGGGGGATTATATATAAGTAAAGGAAGAAGATGGTGGGAAAGTGAGTGGGAAATAAAAAATAAAGTCACATAGAAAGACTGATGCCAAAGGAGTGCAGTAAAATATTACATTGATATTTGATAGGGATGTCAGGGGACATCAACTGTGTATGAAGCGGGGACCTGAGAGCTGTTTTGCCAGGGAGATAATCACACGAGTTCAGTGGTCTTATGGATCAGAGAGAAGATGCCTAATCTTATATAGTGGCGCACTAGAGGTTTGGGTGTATATTTGTAGATGTTTTAGCAGATAGTGACATACTGGGTAAACTATTATTTTTTTTATACAATGTTTCTTTTGAACTTAGTCTTCTAAAATGCTAGAAATTACATCCAATATTTCCAGGGAGTGATTCCCAGACCCACCATTTTTATTTTATTTACACCATGATGTTTATAATTATTGTTTTAATTACTTTTAGTCCAATGGCTCCCAAAAATGCACTAGGTGCTGATAACATACCTCCATTACCCAAACAGCTCACAATCTAAGACAACAAACACCTGAAAGGTGGGGGGGGGGGGGAAAAAGGAACACCATCAAAATATATTATCATTTATTATTTGTATTACTGTAGCACCTAGGAGCCAAGCATAGGCCAGGACCCCACTGAGCGAGGTGTTGCACAAACACAGAACAAGAAGATCGTCCCTGCCACAACGTGTTGCATCTTTTTGACCCAGGCAGCTAGTCAGAGTTCAGGGCCCTGGGCATGTTCCAGTTGGAATTAGAAATTGATGAAGGCTGGTGTTATCTTTGATGCAATCTTGTGTATTTACAAGGAATGTA